TAGGCTTTCTGTTAGCCGAATTCGTAAACGGTCTGAGGGTACTAGACGGACATGTTGCACACCATATATCTTGAATAGAGTATAAAATCATTATAACGTGAACTGGTGATGAACATTTTTGATTTCTCTAATGCTTGTTATTTCTTGTCGCATTCTCTTTTATCTTTGTTCTATTAGTTTCGCAATGCGTATAACTGCAGTTTTCCTCTTCGTATTGCAATAAGTAGCCATTACTCCACTAATTAATTTTGATGGGTTCTTAGTGGTGAAAGCAAAGTCTTTACCGTAGGATACCGTTTGGAACTAATAACGCACAAACATTACCAGGTTTATTTTCTTCTCGATGGTGTAGCCGCTGATCTTTGGCAGTGTATCCATCTGGACAAATCATATCATTCTTTGCTAAATCGCTGAACGTATAGAAATATATTCATGTGACTGGTTTTACCACAACACCTGTATTGGATCTACGTTAAACCTAAATCATTCCATGAACCTAACTTCCAACCAATATGCAATCAAATCGTGCATTTCCGTGACTGATGCGGTGGCCAAACCGCTTTAACAGAGCAGTATAAGTCGTTATTATATTTGCAGTCCGTTCGGCTTCAAATAACCTATGAGCACCCGCCAAATTCCGCGTGTGAAAAGCACGTTGCTAAATTGTGAGCTATACTAGAACGGTGCACGTTTCTTGTACGTAGTTAGTAAAATGGTCAACCACCAAGTAAGAGCGAACCTAGCGACATAAGACAACTTGATTTTATATATGCCACGATTAGCAAGTTTTGTTGGCCTGTGCAGCTTCTAACTCCTAAACAGCTGGGCTTTAACTATATTAATATAGAATAAACGGTAGCTATGTTTTAATGGCCAGGAATACAAGCTGCTGTTTGCACAGTTGACTGAGAAGTTAAACGCCTTGTCCAGTTTTATACGGTGTACTACATATGATACGGTTGCTCAGGTATGTATTGTTCTCAAACCTAATTTTGCGCTTGAGTTTAACTTACTTCTAGTAAACACTATTTTGCCAGGTTAAAACTCTACTTCCAAGCCACTGTAGAGCATTCAGTCTTGATTTCTTGCTCGACTTGGGAGTGACCCTTAGTGGAAATCATTTAAAGATAAATAGGTCATATGGGAACAGAGAGATATCGACTGAAGCTAGGTTCACTGTCTGGTAAATGTATGATTAATCGCATATTTGCAGTTTGAAGATGGAACGCGAAAACTGATAGATGGGTTCCCACAGGATATACCTGGATCTATGTAAAACTAATAATCGGATAGTAAGTTAACTTTTCTCAACTCGAGCAGTTGTCTCGTTTGGATATACAGACGGACGGGGATACAATACTTGTACAACATCTATGCGTCTCCGGAATTAGGCACACAAGACTACGTAGGCGGTGGTAAGCAATCTTAAGTGAATTAGTTCATAACACACTACTAAACGAAAATATTCCGATACGGCTATGAATTAGGTTACTAGGGCTCACTAAGAGTAGATTGCATCGCGTGGCATCTTTTGGACGTGCTTTTGAATGGCCCATGACAAATATGCTCCAGTTTAACCATATAACCACAGATTTGCCAGAAACAGATCAATAAACGGTTCTGCAAAATGCATTTTTTTTCTTAAATAGTCCAAGACGTTTGGTCTCCAACCTGATAAAGCCTAATGCAACTGCACACACAACAGCAATCGTGATCGGTCTGAACTGGAGCCAGTATAGGTGCGTAACCATTTC